CCACTTCAACGGAAACAGCTGGTGCAGAAAGCTGAGAGGTCACCGCTTCACCATTTGCAGAGAACAGATAGCAAAGCGGAAGAGGGACAAGGCTATAGACTCTCAAAGCCCACCTCCAGTGACCTGCCTCCTCCAGCAAGACTATCCCTCCTAATGGTTCCTAACCCAAACAGCATCACCAACTGGAGATCAGGTGTCCAAATGCATGGCCTACAGAGTATATTTCTCTTTCAAACCATCACACTTTGGTAGCAAGAGTATCCCCCAAACTGAAAATGTATAAAGAAGTCCTAGCTTTTAGTTACGGGTCTAGGAAGTATGGACTGGAATGAGAGAGTATTTTGATTAGGGCCATATGAGTGGACCTTTTAAGAGAGAGGCCTTCTGAGTCACTTTACACTCACCAGAAGCACCTGCACAGTAGAGGCAGTTACTGCCAATTCACATTAATCGACCTTACTCACTAGCTGTGCAGAACCTCACACAAAATACACCCAGCTAGCAAAAGTGGTGGAAGTGGACCCAACACTGTCCAAGTGGCCTATTTGCATAGCTTGTGTTATGCCCTCATGTCTGAACTCCAGTGTCTTGTGACACATACTCAAGACAGAGACCCTCAGAACTGTCACACAGATCCCATACCTATGACCAATAATAAACACATAGAACTGAGTAGGCAGGGTCTGAACCACATTAGAATTACAGGCAGGCCAGTCGCCTGGCATCTGTGTGGATGCTGGGAGTCTAAACTCTGGTCCTCCCACTTGTGCATGAAAAAGATAGAGGACAAACACCAATGAATGATTCACGTTACTTAGGAATGCAAAGCTGGTTACAGCACCAAGGCGGCCACCATGGCCCACCAAAAATGATGGCTGAGGGTGACTGATGTTACCATCTAGGGGTTTGGATTGGGTTTTCTCCCCCAGTTAAGAATTAAAAGGGGCATTGGCACAGGAGACCACTTCCTAAATATAACCCCAGCAGCACAGACACTGAGAGAAACAATTAATAAATGAGACCTCCTGAAACTGAAAAGCTTCTGTAAAGCAAAGGACACAGTCAACAAGACAAAAACAACAGCCTACAGAATGGGAAAAGATCTTCACTAACCCCACATCACACAGAGGTCTGATCTCCAAAATGTGCAAAAAACTCAAGAAATTGGACACCAAAAGAACACATAACTCAATTAAAAAAAAAAAAAAAAGAAGAAGAAGAAGTACAGACCTAAACAGAGAACTCTCAACAGAGGAATCTAAAATGACTGAAAGACACTTAAGGAAATGTTCAACATCCTTAGTCATCAGAGAAATGCAAATCAAAACAACTCTGAGATTCCATCTTACATCTGTAAGAATGGCCAAGATCAAAAACCCTGATGACAATATATGCTGGAGAGGCTGTGGGGCAAAAGGAACACTTCTGCATGTAAAACTCTAGGATAACTCTGTAGCCATTTCTGACAACTCTTCTGAGCAGTAGTGTTCCTTCCTCCTCTGGGAACCAAGGACCTAACAACTACACATGCACGTACTGAAATGCTGGGAACTTTCCATCTCCCTGAATCCTTGTGAGTGTACTCCAAATAGAGCTTCGTTCCTGAAATTGGGACAAGATAACCCACAGATATCCACAGTTGTTTTGACTCTCAGATGTTTCCTCTTACCTCATCTGATCTGGTAACTGCTCTCCAGCCAATTATTGGTAATAGCCCTTTAAACAAGTCAATCATATAGTTAAAGAACAACCCCCAGACTCCCCACTTGTTTCTGTGGCTTTTTGCTTTAAAAGTAGCCTGTACCAGCCATTCAGGGTTTTTCTGGCTTCTCGAATGTAGAAAGACCCTGTCATGACAGAATTAATAAAATCCTCATGCTTTTACACCAACTGTGGTGTGAGTGATGGTCTCTTGGGGCAACTCCTCCTGGCAGTTGGACTTCAGGGTCTAACATGCATTGCTGGTGGGAATGCAAGGTGGTACAGTCCCTTTGGATGTCAGTGTGGCAATTTCTCAAAAAATTGGAAAACAACCTTCCTCAAGACCCAGTAATACCACTTTGGGGTATATATCCAAAGGATGCTCAATTGTGCCATAAGGACATGTACTCAACTATGTTCATAGCAGCTTTGTTTGTCATAGCCAGAACCTGGAAACAACCTAAATGCCCCTTGACCGAAGAATGGATAAGGAAAATGTGGCACATTTACACAATGGAGTACTACACAGCAGAAAAAAAAAACAACATCTTGAATTTTGCAGGAAAATGGATGGAGCTAGAAAACATTATTTTGAGTGAGGTAACCCAGACACAGGAAGATAGTTATCACATGTACTCACTCATAGGTGGTTTTTAAATATAAAGCAAAAAAAAAAAAGCCTACAAACCACAATCCCAGAGAACTTAGACAACAATGAGGACACTAAGAGACTTACATAGATCTAATCTACACGGGAGGTAGAAAAAGACAAGATCTACTGAGTAAATTGGTATCATGGGGACCTCGAAGGAGGGTGGAAAGGGGGAGGGGAGAGGCAGGGAGGGGAGCAGAGAAAAATGTAGAGCTCAATAAAAATCAATTAAAAAAATAGAGAACTCAAATGCTCTGACAAAAAAAAAAAAAGTTGGATGTGGGGGCAGACACCTACAACCCCAGGAATGGGAAGGCAGAAACAAGTAGAAAAAAGGAAAGAAAAAAAAAAAGAATTAAAAGGGAATTTTTTGAGCATGACATACAGCAGAAGGGAAAATCCTCAAATGCAGCAGACAAAATCAGCTGAAGAAGAAAGGCTTTCATTAGGGGTGAGGAAATCCTTGCACACAACAGCAAGCACACAGAAAGGGCCCTTTGCAAAGCAAGGGGTGGATCTGGGAATCTGAAAACCCAGCCTCTCCTCAAGGGCTAGAGATTTTTATGGGACTTGAGATGACTTCCTTTTCTAACTTAGCATAGGTCAGCTTGAACAAAGAGGGTACTTTTCTGTCCTGGAGAGTGGGCACGGCATAACAGAAGAACCCTGGGATGCCTTCTTCTAACAGGTCACAAAGCAGTTCTAGATGTGATGTAAATGCCCGTTTTGACTGAAACACTATTTACAGATATGCAAGCGCATTTATCAAAACTCCTCTCACTACACTGAGAACAGATTTGCCCGCCCCTTAGAACTGGTTTCACAAAGCACCGTTGATGTACTTTGGAACACAAATGAGTCACCATATCCTGTTTACCTTCCCAACACCCTTCTGGCTCGATTCCCTTCAAGGACTCAAGCTTTCTTGGGGCCCACACCTCTCTCTACAGCCAGTGAGATTTCTGAAACCAATCGTGGTAACGAACCCCTATCGCATCGTTTCCTCTTATATTAAAGATACAGTCTGAGAAGCAAAATCACCGAGGTGGGGGCTTCCTCTATGGATCAGGCACTACCCAACTATGAGAAAGGCCTAAGCGGTTTCTGAACTGTAGCTTGTGACCAGCTGCCTGCTGGTGCAGGAAGTGTGCAACACAGCAGGTGCAGGGAACAGAAGACAACTGGAAAGTTCCAGAAGCCAACCAGAACCCACAGACACTGAGGAACTGAAACCATGACAAGTTCTTGTTTTTCCATTTTCATGGGAAGGGCCCGAGCTATGAAAGTGGGAGGAGAAAACCAACTCCACAAAGTTGTCCTCTGACCACCACTGTCCACTGTGGCACAGGCGCCCACAGACATGACCCCCTACCCCTACACAGATTTTGGAAACCAAGGACAAGGGGCTGGGGAGATGGCTCAACAGGGAAGAGACAGCTGCTCTTGTAGAGGATTTGGCTCTAGGTACCTGTGTGGTGACTCACAACCATCCTTAACAGAGGTGCCAGGGGATCTGATGCCTTGTTTTGGACTCCCGGTGCACCAGGCTCACACATGGTGCGCGTACATATATGCAGGGAAAACATTAATACACGTTATTTTAAAACTCTAAAAAACATTAAAACAAGGACAAAGTTTTAAGTAACATGCAGGAAAGGCACTCATTTCTGCAGAAGGGCAGAAAAACATTTATCCTCTTGACTCTCTCAGTGCGTGAGCCACTGCGAAGGCAGAGCCCGAGAAAAGGCAGTTTGTTTGGGGATGACTTATGGGATAGGAATAAAAACCATAAAAACTGACTGGGGACAGAGTAGTGGTTAAAGGTGTCTGAGCTGGGGCATGAAGCTCCATGTTACTGCGAGCCTGAGAGTCTGCATGGAAGTGGAGTTCTCGCTCTCCAGTAGAAGGCAGCCTGCCAAACGCTTCCACTATCCGGGCTGGGTGTCATCTCTGGGGAACTTGCTCCTCTGGCTTGAGTGAACTCCCCAAGGCAGGAAGTAGAGGGCCCACTGGCTCTTAGAGCTGGAAGCTCGTAGAACCCTGCCACAGCACAAAGGGAGACTGAGGAAAGGGGGCCTCATTTACCGAGAGTTTCTTTTCAAAAGATCTTTGTCTATTCTTCACAGCACAAATACACCCAGAATAAGAAATGTCAAACCAGTTTCACTTCCTCCTTCTGAGAAATGAACACTTGAGAGTTTGGAGAAATTCCATTAACAACACCTAAATCGATGAACAGTTCATCACTAATTGACAACTGTCCTCAGAGGATGCTGACTGATGACACACCATCCTACATGTATCATATCCTTCCTATATCCTGTACAAAATGGTGTCCCTGGAGTTACAACATGCAGCAACACAGCCTTGCTTGGAGGAGTTGCTCTAAATAAATTCCCGAAAAGGACAGGAGTGGAGGAAATAGCACCAAAAGTTATTTGATTCAGAGCATTAGGAAAATACAAATCAACAGTTCACGTATACAGGCTATTTCGTCCCCCAGAAAATATAAGGCAATGTCTAGAGACAAATCTGGCTGTCACTAGTTGCCACAGAAATCTCACAGGAGATGTCAAGTTGCTGTAAAGAGCCACAAGGCATTGGGCAGCCCCTTCCCTAGCAAAAACTACACTATTACAAACACCAATTGTGTTAAAGACATTTGATCATTGATATTAAACATGTATGTGCATATCGTTTATACATTTATGACAATTAAAAGCCAATGTTCACATGCCCGCAATACAAAGTGTTGCGTTAGTACCACCAAACCCAAAGGAATTGGTGAGTCCAATACGCCGACCCTCGGTTTTCCATTCCTGCGCCTCCAGTGGAACGTAATTGAGATCAAATTCTGGCTCTGTACAATCCAGGTTTAAAGTCGGTGGTAGTTTTTGATGATAACAAGCCAGTGCGGTAAAAGCTGCCTCAGCCGCCCCTGCAGCCCCCAGCAGATGCCCGGTGGCTCCCTTTGTGGAGGATACAGCAAGGGCACCGGCGTGATCTCCAAAGAGCCTCTTGATGGCTCTGTTTTCAGCAGCATCACCCAGTGGTGTGGAGGTGGCGTGTGCGTTGACATAGGATATCTGTTCAGGCAACACACCTGCATCTTTTACAGCAGCAGCCATGCATCTAGGAAGAAAAGAAAATTATCAAATGAAGTTAATTTTAACAGGATATCGTTCACCTGAGGAGCTTGTGTGAAAGAAATAGAGGTTTCCATGTACACCGGGTAAGCTCCATCCTGAGTGTCATAGCAGAGACCCTATGATCCACGAAGCCAAAAATAGCTAGTATTTGCCTTTACAGGAAATCCCGTGAACTCCTGGCAGATTTAATTAGACAAAACATAGCATGGTCTAAGCTAAGAAAGTAACATATTATCTCAGACTGTTTTCAAAGTACAGTCTTTAGTCTAGAGCTGGCTAGAAATGTAGACTTCTGAGTGTCTACCTAGATCCACGGTCAGAATCCACAGGCAGCACACTAGCAAGACTTCAGGGCGATGCAGCGGAGAAATGCTGCTCTGTAAGGAACAGAACTCAGTCAGACACACCTAGCAGGCTTCGTCTGTATTCTCCAGGTCTGCTAAGGATTCAAGGGGAGACTGAGGAGGGAGCAGAACGATTGCCAAGCAGAAAGGGGGACACAGGGAGTCAGCAAAGACACAGCTATACTGGATTTGACTAAAATTAATTCAATTTTTGTTTAAAGATGTTTGAATGTTTTCAAACATTTCAAGCAAAGAATTTTTTAAAAAAATACATTCAGTCTAAGATAGAAAATATACATATTATACACCACAACCAGGAAACTTTTTTTTAATTTGAAGTTCTAGTAGTGTCTTATAGGAAAAAAAAATTCTGAACAGAACGTCTTTACCTGAAGGCACCTTCTCCTTCAGCATCAGGGGCTGTTATGTGACCAGCATCCCCTGACAGTCCATAGCCCAGAACTTCTGCATAGATCCGGGCACCTCTCTGAAGAGCATGCTCATGTTCTTCTAGCACCAGCACAGCAGCGCCCTCACCCATGACAAAACCATCTCTCTCTGGATGAAACGGTCGGCAGGCCAGCTTGGGATCCGGGTTTGTGCTCAGAGCCCGGGCTCTAGAAAACCCAGCAAGAGATAATGGACTAATGCAAGCATCTGTGCCCCCAGCCACCATCACATCTGCATCACCGTGGGCTATAAATCTGAAGGAGTCTCCCACTGCATGCGCTCCTGTTGTGCAGGCTGTGGACACTGCGTGATTGGGGCCTTTGAGTTTATAGCGAATGCTGACCTGTCCCGCAGCCATATTGATCAGAATCTTAGGGACAAAGAACGGGCTGACTTTATTATAACCTTTGGTCTGAAACATCAAAGCCGTTTCGGAAACAACTTCAAGAGGAACCATGCCCATGCCAATGGCAACACCAGTAGCCACCTGATCTGCTTCTAACTTCGGATGCCAGCCGGAGTCTTTCAGGGCCAACTCTGCTGCCCCGATGGCCATGATGGTGGGAGATGACATGGACTTCGTGTCCGATTTGGACACAAAGTTCTGTTCATTGAACTGGCCTTCCTCAGTACCTCTTGGCACATAAGCAGCCACACTGCAAGGAATACTCTTGTACTCTTCACCAACTACAGAAACAATCCCACTTTCTCCTCGGAGAAGCCGATCCCAAACTAGCTGAGTGCCAACACCAAGTGGGGTCACCAGCCCGATGCCTGTGATGACAACTCGCCTACGCAACGTGGCTGCTGGCAGAGCTCCAGAAGACTGGCGTGTGCTTATTAACCAACAGCATGACGCTGGATGTGGAGGAGAGACTGCGGCTTTTAGAAATTTTTGTAAGCCGTTGGATAACATGGTTGAAATTCACAAGATCAGAAACACATTTATTCCTGGAACAGACCACAAGAGACAGAAAGGGCCATTTAAACAACGGAAGGGTCTAACGATTACCCTAGATGTGCTTGCCGTCATGTGCAAACGGTCGCAGAGAAATGCCACCGTCGTTTGGACGCAAATTTCGTGTTTAAACTACGAGGGACCTCAAACAGCCAACTGATAGCCAGCTCACTAGTTCTCAGGAAAATTGGACAAGGAAAGCCTCGAGGCCAGCCCACTCTGATCCGATTGCTGCGGGCATCCTTCTTTGGGCTCACCGAGGATTACTGTACGGTGTGGGCTGAGTCTACGTGGCACTCCCACGGCTATCGCGGACCTATTCTAGGAGGCGCCCTCTACCTACTTCCGGAGGCCCCGCCACAGCCCGCGCAGCCGTGGCAGGCAGGCGGACCGGCAGTACAAGGGGTCAGGATTAGGAACTCTCAGGGCTCCACGAGCACGCCACGCCCCCCACCCCCACCCTGAAGCCCGGGTGCACTCCACCGCCAGGGCCAACCGCGGCCGCTACCTGAAACAAGACCTGCCGGCGCCCACCTTATGCGCATGTGCACACTGGCCCACAGATGCATTTCCGCCCGGATACGGGCGCCTGGTGTCAGAGGTCGGACAAGCCCAGGACTTCCGCCGGGCTCCGGGGTTGTGAGCTCGCCTCTCAGCTGCCTCTAGTTGAGACACAGCGATGACACACAGATGTGTCGGTGTTGCCAGAAAAGGGATGGAGTCATTTCCTCGGGACACTCCGAGGAAGACAAAAACGCTGTAGCCTCAGTCAGGCCTCCCCGGTATCTGGGAGGAAAGCAGCGAATAGAACTCATGAAACCGAGGTCGTTTGAACAGATCATCCAAATGCCACGCAGCCACTGAAAACAATGCTGCGGGTGACTGTTTCGTAATGTGCAAAGACGCCGAGAGTATTTGTTAGCAGGCGTCAGTTGCAAAACAGAATATAGCGCTTTCAGATTTAAAGGTCTGCAAAGAAACTGGGCATGATGGTACACGTCTGCAATTTCAGCGCTTGAGAGATAGAGGATCAGGAACTTAATCCTCATCTGTGTACCCAGTTCAAAGCCAGCCTACGCTACCTCCCTGACGACCCTGTCTTTAAAATCAAAACCTGAAGTCTATTTGTGATGGGCAGTGGTTGTAGTGTCCCGGCTCCATTTTTTTTCCTTGCCCTTATTTACATAGTAAACAAATAGTGTATAGTAAGTAAATAATGCTTCTGTAAAAATAAAACTTTTTATTGATGATTTATGGCGGGAAGTGACTGGAATATGCCCAATATCTGACGTGGAAACAAGAAAAATACGTTTATTTCTGAACTTATGAAAGTTTAACTTACTCCTTCAGAGCGGACTGTGAATCTGTAATGGGAAAGTACAACACGCAGCAACACAGCAAGGTGGTGTTTATTAACTAGTTGCTGAAATCTGTCCCAGGTGTGAGCTTTGGTTTTTCTTCTTCAGATGACGGACTGACCGTGCCATCTGCACCTGAATCTTTTACTCATGCTGGTGTCCTTGTGGGTGATACCTCTTGTGGCCATTGTGGTCACATATACTCAACCGTAGAAAAGAATTTGGGTCAAATTTATCTTTTTCCTCATTAGTCCTGGGTATGGTTTGTTTGAAAATCTGCTTTGTCTATAATAATGTTTAAGGAATCCAAGTTTGTCCTTAATCTCAGGAAACTCCACTTGCTTAGTAAGATCTCCCTGCAGTGAAAATAATGTTACTCCCTCCTGTCCCTTTGGCAATCTGTATGTAACGCTGTCCAATTGCAGGCAGCCTCGGGTCTCAGAAGGGCTGGGGTATGTAGACTGTGGAACTCCGGCTATGCAGCCGTGGAGAAGTTATGCCCTCTTCCATGCTGCAGTGGAACTTGCTGGTGGTGCAGATGTTTTGGGGCCTCCCACACTCCTGTAAGCAACTCCTCAGCCATGTTCTCTAAGTAGCCAAATTAACTTATAGGTACTCCAAGGTGGACTTTGAGGAGTCCTGCTTTGATTTATTGCTCCTGCCCTGTATTTGTTTACATCCTCCCAGGGAAAGATTCTCCAAGCAATGCATACACACATAAGTGATATAACAAGACTATGATCTCTACTTGTGTTTCTTTCTCTGATCATTTTATTTCATCTGGAAAGGGGTAAAGAGTTTATAAAATCTGAATAGCTGTATGTGAGTTAGTACTGTATTTCTTGTTAAAATATCATGGTATAGCAAACACCAATCTTCAAACTGGTATTCAAATTCGTATTCAAATTGCTTGTCGTAGCCTCCTTTAAAAGTTCTCTTGTTCAAAGCTTCATTTCCAAATACAGTTCCCAAGTAAATAAACTTTTTGTCCAACAAGTCGGTCTTCCCAATGCTTGTAATATTGGAACACAAAGAAGACAAGGTGGTTGGTGCTACCTCATAAACTCAGGAAATGCTTCCAACAAGTGGGCCTTGATTTCAAGCTATGAACTTAATGAATGCATGGCTAGTACCTGGGTGGAAATATGTATTCAGTAGGCACAAGACACCAGGTCCATATGGCCAGTGTCAAATTTGAGAAGTTAGGCTCACTAGAGCTATAGGACATGAATTCCATTTCCAGAACTAACTCTCTCTCTCCTCTCTCCTCTCTCTCTCTCTCTCTCTCTCTCTCTCTCTCTCTCTCTCTCTCTCTTTCTCTCTCTCTCTCTCGGCTTTGGTTTTGGGAGACGGGGTTTCACTGTGTAACCCTGGCTGTCCTGGAACCCTTCCTGTAGAGACCAAGCTAGTCTTGAACTCACAGAGGTCCGCCTGCCTCCCAAGTGTTAGGATTAAGGGGTATGCCACCAGGGCTCATAAAGGTTGGTCTTATGGTTTAGATAAAATGCTGTGGTTCCCCTGAGGGCCAGCAGCAGGCTACGAGGGGCAGCTGGGTCCTACCACCCGAGGCCTCTGTGGTTCCCAGGTGGGAGGGAGGCAGCGAGTGAGAGACCTCAGCAGATCAATGGAGCAGCTAGTCCCAAGAGGAGCCATGGCAAGTGACCTGAGACAGATAGGCATGCCATGCAGAGGGTTTGGGTGTAGTTTATTATGTGGGTCATGGAAGGAAAGGAAAGGGGTAGAGAGGGGGAAAGTGGGGGAGCAGAGGAGGACACCACAGCCACCTCTTCTGAAGAGAGACCTCTTCCAAAGAGAGGTTAGGGTTAGGATTAACCTCTCTTAAAGGGACAACGTCTCTTAAAGGGACAGGACAGACTATTACATTCCCATCTCTTTTTTATAATAAAAAAAAAAAGGCAGAAGGTTAGGCACAACAGGTTAAAGGAATTGGGACAGTGGATTCTCAAGCCTGCTTCCTGCTTATTCGTGGGTGTCGTCTTGGGGGGGCAGAACCTGAGAAAACTGGATGCTGGTCACATCCTAGGGTAGCTGGTCTCTTTGCTCCTGTCCAGTGCTTATGGTATGGGAATATAATGGTCTGTCCTGTTCCTTTATGAGACAAGCCCTGACCACTCCCCCCACCCTTCTGCCAAGGCAAGAGGATCTTCCTTCCCCTTCCAACCTACAGGCTCTCTCTCTGTCCAGTCTCTCTTCAAAAGAGGTAGTTGCATCCTCCATTCCTGCCCCCAACTCCCCACTCTCTGTTCTCTCTCTCTCTCTCTCTCTCTCTCTCTCTCTCTGTCTCTCTCTCTCTCTCCTCCTTCTTCCCTTTCCTTCCATAACCCATTGAATAAACTATACCCAAACCCTCTCTCTGCATGGCGTGCCTATCTGTCTCAGATCAACCGCCGTGGCTCCTCGTGGAACCAGCTGACCCGCTGACCGGCCAAGGTCTCTCACTCGCTGCCTCCCACCCACCTGGGACCCACAGAGGCCTTGGTGGTGGGACCTGGCTGCCCTCATGGCCTGCTGCCACCCCTTGAAGAACTGTGCTGTTTTATCTAAACCATTACAGTTAGTCTCACAACCATTTCCATACACTTATAGAGGAAAGAGCCAACTACCAGAACTTTTCCTCTGATCTCCAAATGCCAAGGCAAGGGCATGTGTATGTATGTACTTCACACACACACACACACACACACACACACACACACACACACACACAAATAATTTTAAAGCATTTTAAAATAAAAACTTGAGGAGCTGGAGAAATGATGCCGAGGCAAAGGGCTTATAGTTCAAGAGGGTTAATGTCTATAATTGTGGGGGCAGCAGGCAGCAGGCAGCAAGCATGGTGGCTGGAACAAGAAGCTGAGAGCTCACATCCTTCACCGTGAGCACGAAGCCAAGAAAGCACACTGAAAGTAGGACAAGGATATATATAACGCCAAAGCCCAACCCCGGTGAGTTCTTCTTCCAGGAAGCTGTATTTCCTAATGTCCCCACACTGCTACTGATGGGAACCCGGGAGTTCAAATACTGGAGCCTACGGGAACATTTTTCATTCAGTCCACTATGTCTCGCTCCCTGGTCTTCATAGGCTCGTGGCCATGTGATGCAAAGTGCATTTAGTGCAACTTCAGAAGTCCATGGAGTCTCTCAGTCTCAACACTGTTTGAAAGCCTACAGTCTCTTCTAAGATGCAAAGCGTCTCAGAATGTAACTGTCTGTAACATCAAAAGGTAAATCACATATTTCCAACATATGACACAGAATTTAAATTACTGTCCCAAAAGGATGGGAGTGGAACATAGTAAGAAAATCCTGGACCAAAGCAAGAACAGAACAGCAGGACAAACACCAAATCCTGTAGCTCTGCATTTTCTATCAAGTGCTTAGATAGCTCCAACTTTCCAGCCTGTAGCACACACCTCTCTCCTGGGCTGGTCCCTGCTCCTTATATGCAGCTCTCCTTGGCAGATTTCTCACGGTGTTGACATCTCCAAAGTCTTGTGTCCACTGCAACCAAGCTTCCCTGTCACAGCTCCACACACGGGGGACTTCATGCAGGGACACTCTGGCACGTGCTGCCTGGTCTCAGAGGCGCTCTGAAGCCACAGAGGGAGGATGTATGACCCCCTCACTGTTGTCTCCTTCATATCTAAAGCCAGCACCATGGGACAACACAGCCACGTACTGCTACAAGCTTAGGGTGGGGCCCTTGGATCACATGAGCATCAGTGCTTTTTTATTCAGCTGCTTTCTAAGATCAGAAGATTGTTATGGTAAAAATAAAACAGTGCAGGTCCCCAAGTGGTTGCAGTGGGCAGTTGCACAAGACCTCTCTCTTCTCTTCTCTCTTCTCTTCTCTTCTCTTCTCTTCTCTTCTCTTCTCTTCTCTCTCTCTCTCTCTCTCTCTCTCTCTCTCTCTCTCTCTCCTCTTCCCCTTCTCGCTGTACCCCCTTTCCCTTTCCCTTCCATAACTCACTAAATAAAATAAATGCCTCTCTGCATGGCATGCCTAGTAGGTCTCTGTCTCTCACCCACCATGTGGCTCCCTACCTGGGACCCGTTGACCCTCTTGGCCCTGTGGGCTATTCTGGGAACTGGGAACTGCAGCGTTTTACCACCAAGCTCCTCATGGCCTCTGTGGCCTCTGCTGCAGCCACTTGGGGAAAGGCACCGTTTTATTTTTACCATCACAAAGATGCCTTAGGTTGACTTTTACACATTGGAGGCTTGGCTAGGTGGTGGTCTTACACAGATCACCTTTTTCCTTTGTTCTAGGGCAGAACAAGCTTCTCCTCAAACATGCTAATCTTCCTCTCTCCAGCAAATGACTTGGTTGCAGCATTCCCCTTCCTAGAGCTCCATTCTCTGTATGTTTCATTTTGTTTTCTGGTCTAAATCTCCAAATTCTTTCCACAACACCCCATCTACCAATCGCAAACCAACATAGCCAAGTTCATCACAACAATAGCCTACTCTTAGTACCAATTTCTATTGTTTTTCTTAACAGTCTATAATAAGTTAGCAGCTTTCATAAGACTAGAACTTTACATTCTATAATTGTTTTGAATTGAAGCCAATAAAGAAACTGAATTAGTCATTCTGAGGATAAAAACAGAACAAGTTTGTATCCAGCTGTTAATGCTGTCTCCTGGAAAGGCAAAAAAAAAAAAAAAATGGTCACAGGGCGAAATGGGAATAGGAGGGAGCCTAGGAGCTACCATGGCCCTTGATAAGTTCTAAGGCACCACAGCCACAAGTTCCTTTTTGTCAGAGATAAGGAGGGCAACACACTTTTTAGGCAGTAAGAACTTTCTGTAAGCAACCTGAGGGAATGGGAGCTTTGTCTGAATACCTGGCCTGGTGAAAAGGACTTTGTAGTTTTATCTCTGTTAAGTATGAGCCTTAGAAAACAATTTTTTAGTTGAAGTTTCCCTTAGTATCAATAAAAAAAATATGACTCAGTATATTCAAATAAATTAAACCCAACAAAGTTAGCAAAGACAAGGAGGTTAAGCATGCAGTTTTTAAGCCTGAATAGACCTTGAACAAGGAAATGCATTTTTTAAAAACATTAGCTAATATTTTTAATGCTTTGACCTTTCAATATCATTTTTTACATTGTGATCCTCCCATTACAAAATTTTTCCCATTGTTATTTTACAATTGCAATTTTACCTATGTTATGAATCTTAGTTCAAACATCTGACATGCAGGTGGTACCAGAATACCCCTGTACAACCCACAAAAGATTGAGATTCATAGGCTTGGGTGCTGTTCCAAGCCCTCTGTCAAACTGCCTAGGTCATTGTCTTCCATATTACAAGAAATGAACATTTCCATTTCTGGTTAGTTTTTGGTACTTACGGCTGTGACCCTAATTTTTATTTTTAGCCTTTTAAGTTCAAATATTAACAATAAAACATTTTATAACCACAGCCTTATAAATTTAAGAATTTTTTAAATTTTTAAAAAATTAAAATCTCAGGGCTGGAGAGATGGCTCAGTGGTTAAGAGCACTGATTGTTCTTTCAGAGGTCCTGAGTTCAATTCCCAGCAACCACATGGTGGCTCACACCACCTGTAATAAGATCTGGTGCCAACTTCTGGCCTGCAGGAACACATGGAGGCAGAACATTGTATACATAATAAATAAATCTAAAAAAAATTAAAATCTCTTAAATGTCTTCCTGCAATATCAAAAATAAAGTTCCTCTTTGGCCCCACCCTCAACAGCACATACATAGTCTATTTTTTAGATCTCTGCCTGCTCCATTTCACTGTAGCTGGTGCTTTTGGTGACTATCGCCTAGTACTGGTTCATTCTTGTAACTCCACAATCTTTGGCACTCTAGTCCTGCCATACATTTGTAAACCTCAGCTGTTTCCTATGATCCCTTTATGTCTGTATAACCATTATCACCTGGGTGACACTTAAGTTAACAAAGTCCAGCTGGCAGAGCAAGATACATTTTTGAGTATAAAAACATTGAGGTGCAGCTTTAATACTTTAAATCATATTTATATATATTTAATACATATTAAATCTTGTTTTCGGAATGGGACATGAGTCATCATGCAAAAATCTACCCTAGTCCAAACTATCTTAGAGATCTGTTGCTGCCTCCTATTTAGGCCCACTCCACGTGGTCACCTTTACTCAAGATGGTGTTGAAATCATCTGGCATCCATTTGTTTTCTAGCAAAATAGCAATCTAAAATCCAAAATGGAATTATGCCTTATGACTTCTTTAAAATTACCCATGCATAGATTTTAAGTTATCAGTTCCCAGTGTTACTAATTA